ACCTCCTCCGCCTCCTGCCTCAGCATACTGTTCCATCACCGAGACCACCTCCTCTGCCTCCTGTCTCATCATACTGTTTCCATCACCGAGACCACAACTCCTCCGCCTCCTGCCTCAGCATACTGTTCCATCACCGAGACCACCTCCTCTGCCTCCTGTCTCAGCATACTGTTCCATCACCGAGACCACCTCCTCCTCCACCTCCTGCCTCAGCATACTGTTCCATCACCGAGACCACCAAGCCTTCGCCTCCTGCCTCTGCATACTGTTCCATCACTTAGACCACTTCCTCTGCCTCCTGCCTCAGCATACTGTTCCATCACCGAGACCACCTCCTCTGCACTCCTGCCTCAGCATACTGTTTCCATCACCGAGACCACCTCCTCCGCCTCCTGCCTCAGCATACTGTTCCCGATACTCACCGAAACCACCTCCTCTGCAGCATACTGTTCCATCACCGAGACCACCTCCTCCGCCTCCTGCCTCAGCATACTGTTCCATCACCGAGACCACCTCCTCCGCCTCCTGCTCAGCATACTGTTCCATCACCAAGACCACCTCCTCCGCCTCCTGCCTCAGCATACTGTTCCATCACCGAGACCACCGTCCTCCTCCGCCTCCTGTCTCAGCATACTGTTCCATCACCAAGACCACCTCCTCCGCCTCCTGCCTCAGCATACTGTTCCATCACCGAGACCACCTCCTCCGCCTCCTGTCTCAGCATACTGTTCCATCACCAAGACCACCTCCTCCGCCTCCTGTCTCAGCATACTGTTCCATCACCGAGAGACCACCTCCTCCGCCTCCTGTCTCAGCATACTGTTCCATCACACCGAGACCACCTCCTCCTCTGCCTCCTGCCTCAGCATACTGTTCCATCACTTAGACCACCACCTCCTCTGCCTCCTGCCTCAGCATACTGTTCCATCACCGAGACCACCTCCTCCACCTCCTGCCTCAGCATACTGTTCTATCACCAAGACCACCTACTCCGCCTCCTGCCTCAGCATACTGTTCCATCACCGAGACCACCTCCTCTGCCTCCTGCCTCAGCATACTGTTCCATCACACCGAGACCACCTCCTCTGCCTCCTGCCTCAGCATACTGTTCCATCACTGAGACCACTTCCTCCGCCTCCTGCCTCAGCATACTGTTCCATCACTGAGACCACCTCCTCCGCCTCCTGCCTCAGCGTACTGTTCCATCACTGAGACCACCTCCTCTGCCTCCTGCCTCAGCATACTGTTCCATCACAGAGACCACTTCCTCCACCTCCTGCCTCAGCATACTGTTCTATCACCAAGACCACCTCCTCTGCCTCCTGCCTCAGCATACTGTTCCATCACAGAGACCACTTCCTCCACCTCCTGCCTCAGCATACTGTTCCATCACTGAGACCACCTCCTCTGCCTCCTGCCTCAGCATACTGTTCCATCACCGAGACCACCTCCTCTGCCTCCTGCCTCAGCATACTGTTCTATCACTGAGACCACCTCCTTCGCCTCCTGCCTCAGCATACTGTTCCAACACCGAGACCACCTCCTCCGCAGCATACTGTTCCATCACCAAGACCACCTCCTCCGCCTCCTTCCTCAACATACTGTTCCATCACTGAGACCACCTCCTCCGCCTCCTGCGTCCCAGAGATGAAAACAGACACGTCATCACCATAGGCCATGACCCTCAGAGGAGGATCCCCAGGATAGCCGAAAGGAACTCCACACAACGGTCTGCTCTCTCTAACCTTCTAATGAAGGGATCGCGTATAGCAGAGGACTCAAAGGACACCCCTGATGCACACCTGAGCCAACCCCAAAGGGACATCCAATCCAACCATTTACAAGCATGAAGCTTTCAGCACCTCTTTATAAAGTCTTTAGCCAATCAATGAAGCCCCCCTCCAAGCCATACTTGCCAAAAAGCAGCCATAGGTACCAGGGGCAGACTGACAACTCATGGGGCCCCTGGGCAATAGGGGATCATGGGGCCCCTATGTCCTTGCCCAAATTCAAAACGTCTATGTAAAAGGTACCAGGGGCATCTCATGGGACCCCCTACTGACCCGGGCCCTCGGGCAGTGCCCGAGTTTCCAAATGGTCAGTCCGTCCCTGATAGGTACTCATGATTGACCCGATGAAAAGCTTTGGCCTGATCCGATGCCAGCAGGAACTTTCCCCAGCCTGCAGCCCTGCACCGCTCCAGGGCCTTCCGGACAGCTAACACCACTGAAAAAGTGCTTCTACCCTGAACCAAACAGTGCTGATGGCGAGAAAGTAAATTGCCCGCAACAGACGATAAACGCCAGAAAATGATCTTTGCCAGTATCTTCCTATCAACATTGAGAAGGCTAATGGGCCGCCAATTCTCAATTCTCAAAGAATATTTACCCTTTGACAGAAGAATCACTGCAGATTGTCGCATGGAGGGAGAGAGCGAACCCTCTCTCAGACAGCCATTAAACACCTCCACCAAATATGGGGCCAGAGTGACCTTGAAGTGCTTATAAAACTTGGCTGTCAATCCGTCTGGCCCAGGCGACTTCTTCATGGCAAGCTGATCAATAGCTTTCACCACCTCATCTGCCGTGATGTCCTCTGTCACCTCACAGGAGAACTGCCATTTCCCAGTCCTGGAGTAGAGGCCAGAAAAACCCAACATGCTCGCCTGATCGAGGTCCCTCCTACCCAGGACTCACAGGAGAACTGCCATTTCCCAGTCCTGGAGTAGAGTCCAGAAAACCCAACATGCTCGCCCGATCGAGGTCCCTCCTACCCAGAACTCACAAGAGAACTGCCATTTCCCAGTCCTGGAGTAGAGGCCAGAAAACCCAACATGCTCGCCCGATCGAGATCCCTCCTACCAAGGAGGTCAGCATAATATGACCTGGAGGTTTCCAGGATCCCCGACTTGGACTTTGTCAGGGAACCCGTACTGTCAACCAGGCCTACAACTGACTTAACTGCTCTACCTTGTTTGCAGTTCTGGTAAGGGTTGGGCGAGTGATATTTCCCATAATCCCTTTCCAGAACCAAAGAGGCATGCCTGTCATATTGACACTGCCTGAGCAAGAGTTTAACCTCAGAGATCGCTTCTGGATCTCCATTATTGGAGACAAGCCGATCGAGCTTCCTCCGCAGACGCTGGTAGGTGACATATTTATCAAATGGTTTATTTCTTCCTATGGCCTTGAAAACCCAACGATCCTTCGTTTTGTAAGCTCTCCACCACTCGGACTTACTGCTGCAAACGTCCATGATTGATACCTGTGCCTGAAAAAAATCCTCAAAGGATTGACTCACCTTCTCATCGTCCAGGAGTGCCGAATTCAGCTTCCAGGTACCCCTCCCCCCTAGGTGGTGTATCGGGGCCACTCAGAGTCACAGACAGAATACAGTGATCAGAAAACTCCACCGCCTGACACACTGGTGCCGAGAAGGTGGAGTTCTCCTTTAAAAGGACTCTGAATAGCACCTCACTGAAAAGTGAATCCCGTGTCGTCTGGGCAGCAATGAATGTGCACATCAACCAGACCTGCCTCTCTAGGCGTCACAGTCCAGCCTGACTCCGGTCCCTCTCCTGTCCTTAGTCCTAGTGACGGTGTTAAAGTCACCACCGAAGACAACTTGCTGGGCTGTACAAAGGAAAGGCTTGATCTTCATGAAGAGGCATTTCCTGTCCCATTTTGTCTGGGGCCCATAGATGTTAATCAGGCGCAGGTCCTGCCCCCCCATGGAGACGTCTAAGACCATGCATCTCCCCATTTCTACCTGAATAATCCGCCGACAGGTTACCATGCCGGAAAAAAAGTACAGCAACTCCAGTGTAAGGTTCGGCCCGCAAGAGACCAGAAGGAGAGGCCGTTCCTCCACTCCTTCTTCGCCATATGAATAACTGGACAACCTGGTCTCAAAAAACGGTCTGCAAAAAGAAAATATCAGCATCAAACCTGCTGAGCAAAAATAAGGCCAAGTTACAAGTGCTTACTGACTTTATGCTGGCGATTATTAATGGTCGCCACCTTCAAAGGAGTAGAAACCGCCATCAGGATGATCGAGGTACGCGTTTCTTAGCCTGTTTCCCCCCTCCCTACTGGGAGATCCTACACGCTTCAGTGTCCTCTGTGATTCCTCCTCCATGGAAATCAGCGAAGATCCCTCATCCTCCACATCAGATAAAACATCAAATGTGTTTGATACCTCCACCCTCCCAGGTTCAGGTACAGGCACATCCTTCTTCCGCTTCTTCTTCCCAGACTTCCTTTTTGCCTCCAACCACTCCATATCATAGTTACATAGTTAGTTTGGCTGAAAAAAAGACAAAAGTCCATCCTATTCAACCATTAAAAAAAAAAAAGTTATAATCCTACACCCACAGTTTATTCAGAGGAAGGCAAAAAAACCCAGCAAAGTACGATCCAATTTGCTCCTGCAGGGAAAACTCCTTCCTGATCCCCCGAGAGGCAATCGGATATTCCCTGGATCACCTTTCCCTATAAATGTTATATCCAGTTATATTCTGTGTATCCAAGAAACAATCCAGGACTTTCCTACAGCAATCCACTGAGCTGGCCACAACCAACTCTGGAGGGAGTCTATTCCACATTCTCACAGCTCTTACTGTGAAGAAACCTTTCCGTGTTTGGAGATGACATTTCTTTTCCTCCAGACGTAAAGAGCGCCCCCTTGTCCTCACACTGAACCTTGGGGTTCCCTATTAATAACACTGAACCTTGGGGTTCCCCACTAATAACACTGAACCTTGGGGTACCCCACTAATACTGAACCTTGGGGTACACTACTAATAACACTGAACCTTGGGGTACCCCACTAATAACAGTGAACCCTGGGGTACCCCACTAATAACACTGAACCCTGGGGTACACTACTAATAGCACTGAACCTTGGGGTACCCCACTAATAACACTGAACCTTGGGGTACCCCACTAATAACACTGAACCCTGGGGTACCCCACTAATAACACTGAACCCTGGGGTACACCACTGACACCCCCAGACCATTCAGAGTATGAATCATTAGCCACTACTCTCTGAATACGATCTTTTAGCCAGTTTTATATCCATTTACATTCAGATTTTTCCAGCCGTAGACTTTACCTTACACATTAGCCACCCCCTCTGTCCAAGTATACCACGTCCACCGCTACCCCTCTGTCCAAGTCTACCACGTCCACCGCCACCCCTCTGTCCAAGTATACCACGTCCACAGCCACCCCTCTGTCCAAGTATACCAGGTCCACCGCTACCCCTCTGTCCAAGTATACCACGTCCACAGCCACCCCTCTGTCCAAGTATACCACGTCCATCACCACCCCTCTGTCCAAGTATACCAGGTCCACCGCCACCCCTCTGTCCAAGTATACCACGTCCACAGCCACCCCTCTGTCCAAGTATACCACGTCCATCACCACCCCTCTGTCCAAGTATACCACATCCACAGCCACCCCTCTGTCCAAGTATACCACATCCACAGCCACCCCTCTGTCCAAGTATACCACGTCCACCGCCACCCCTCTGTCCAAGTATACCATGTCCACTGCCACCTCTCTGTTCAAGTATACCACGTCGACTGCCACCCCTCTGTCCAAGTATACCGCGTCCCACCGCCACCCCTCTGTCCAATTATACCGCGTCCACCGCCACCCCCCTCTGTCCAAGTATACCACATCCACCGCCACCGCCACCCCTCTGTCTAAGTATACCACATCCACCGCCACCCCTCTGTCCAAGTATACCACATCCACCGCCACCCCCTCTGTCCAAGTATACTGCGTCCACCACCACCCCTCTGTCCAAGTATACCATGTCCACCGCCAGCCCTCTGTCCAAGTATACCATGTCCACCGCCACCCCTCTGTCCAAGTCTACCACGTCCACAGCCACCCCTCTGTCCAAGTATACCACGTCCACAGCCACCCCTCTGTCCAAGTATACCAAGTCCCACCACCACCCCTCTGTCCAAGTATACCACGTCCACAGCCACCCCTCTGTCCAAGTATACCATGTCCACCGCCACCCCTCTGTCCAAGTATACCACGTCCACCGCCACCCGCCTCTGTCCAAGTATACCATGTCCACTGCCACCCCTCTGTCCAAGTATACCACATCCACCGCCACCCCTCTGTCCAAGTATACCACATCCACCGCCACCCCTCTGTCCAAGTATACCACGTCCACCGCCACCCCTCTGTCCAAGTATACCACGTCCACCACCACCCCTCTGTCCAAGTATACCACGTCCACCGCCACCCCTCTGTCCAAGTATACCACGTCCACCGCCCACCCCTCTGTCCAAGTATACCACGTCCACCGCCACCCCTCTGTCTACGTATACCACATCCACTGCCACCCCTCTGTCCAAGTATACCACATCCACCGCCACCCCTCTGTCCAAGTATACCACATCCACCGCCACCCCTCTGTCCAAGTATACCACATCCACCGCCACCCCTCTGTCCAAGTATACCGCGTCCACCACCACCCCTCTGTCCAAGTATACCACATTCACCGCTACCACCCCTCTGTCCAAGTATACCACATCCACCGCCACCCCCTCTGTCCAAGTATACCACATCCACCGCCACCCCCCCCCTCTGTCCAAGTATACCACGTCCACTGCCACCCCTTTGTCCAAGGTTTTGCTCATAAAAAAGAGGTCAGATTTGTATGACAAACTTCTGTCTTTCATGAATCCATGCTGTCTGTTGCTTACAATATTTGTTTCCAGCAAGAACTCCTCTATGGGATCTTTTATTAAACTCTCCAGTATCTTCCCAACTATAGAAGTTACACTAACAGGTCTGTAATTACTTGGGAAAGATTTTGACCCCTTTTTAAATATATTGGCCCCACATTGGCCTTACACCAATCCAGTGGTACTATGCCAGTCATTAAAGGGTCCCTAAAAATGAGAAACAATGGCTGTGAGATGACAGAGCTGGATTCTGTAAGGCCCCCGTGGGTGTATGCCATCCGGTCCAGGGGCTTTATTCACCTTTATTCTGTCTATATATTTCTGGATCATATCAATTGTGAGCCAATGTGGATCATCTGGGGGGGTGTCAGTACCACGTCCATTGTGGACAACCCCCCCCCCCCCCCCCCCATGCTCATTTGTATACACAGAGCTGAAGAAGGGATTTCATACATTGTCCTTCTCTTTGTCCCCCCCCCCCCTCTAGATGGTTCTGTAAAGGGCCTACATGCTGGGACCGGACCTTTCTACTATTCATAGATTGGAGGAATGTTTTGGGGGGGTTGGTCCTGATATCTTTTGCAATCTGTCGTTTGTTTTCAATGTTTGTGCCTTTATTTCCTTTTTGCATGTACTGTTATATTCTTTGTAATGTGTAAATGATGATCGCGTTCCTTCATTTTTATATTTAATGAAAGCGCTTTTCTTATATTATATTATAAGTTATATAGGACCTGTATATAGGACCTGTATATAGGACCTGTATATAGGACCGGTATCACCTGCGACCAATTAACCCCTCCACTTTATTGGCAGACTGAAGGAAGACAAGGAAAGGAAGAAGGAAAAAATGCTATTTAAAAAGTGACAGAAAAAGTATTTTAAAAAGTAAAAGCTGTTAGTAAGACTCAAAAAAGAAAATAAAACAACTACAAGCACCAGCAATCAAAAGCAAAACTTTTTCACTGTCCACTCACATTTCCCACTCTTTTTAGATATCAGCCAGCAAAAAATGCCAGACTAGTTGTAAAGCAGACAGGAAGGAAGGGAGGAATAGAAGAGGTAAGGAAGATGGGAAGGAAGGAGGAATAGAAGATGTAAGGAAGACGGAAAGGAAGGAGGAATAGAAGAGGGTAAGGAAGACGGAAAGGAAGGAGGAATAGAAGAGGTAAGGAAGACAGGAAGGAAGGAGGAATAGAAGATGTAAGGAAGACAGGAAGGAAGGAGGAATAGAAGATGTAAGGAAGATGGGAAGGAAGGAGGAATAGAAGATGTAAGAAGACAGGAAGGAAGGAGGAATAGAAGATGTAAGGAAGACAGGAAGGAAGGAGGAAAAAAAAGATGTAAGGAAGACAAGAAGGAAGGAGGAATAGAAGATGTAAGGAAGGAAGGAAGGAAGGAAGAAGGAATAGAAGATGTAAGAAGATGGGAAGGAAGGAAGAAATAGAAGATGTAAGAAAGAGAGAGGAAGGAAGGAAGGAGGAATAAAGATAAAAAAAAGACGGGAAGGAAGGAATAGAAGATGTAAGGAAGACGGAAAAAAGAAGGAAGAAAGAGAAAAGATGTAAGGAACAGGAAGGAAGGAGGAAAAAAAGATGTAAGGAAGACAAGAAGGAAGGAGGAATAGAAGTTGTAAGGAAGACAAGAAGGAAGGAAGGAGGAATAAAGAAAGTAAGGAAGAAGGAAGGAAAAAGGAAAAAAAAAAGTAAAGAAGAAAAAAAAAGAAAAAAATAGAAGAAAAAAATAAGGAAAAGAGAAGGAAGGAAGAAAGAAAAAAAAGTAAGGAAAGAAGAAAAGAAAAAAGGAAAGAAAAAGATGTAAGGAAGAGAAAGAAGAAAGGAAAAAGAAAAAAAAATGTAAAGGAAGAAAGAAGAGAAGGAGGAAGGAGAAAGAAGATTAAAAGAAAGAAGGAAGGAAAGGAGAAAAGAAGAAAAAGGAAAAAAAAGGAAAGGAGGAAAAAAAAGAAAAGAAAAAGGAAAAAGAAGGAAAAAAAAAAAAAAGATGTAAGGAAGAAAATGAAGAAGAAGGAAAAAGGAAAAAAGAAAAAGGAAAATGGGAAGGAAAAAAGAAGGAGAAAAAAGAAAAAAAGGAAAAAAAGAAGGAGGAAAAGAAGAAAAAAAAGACAGAAGGAAGAGAAGGAGAAAGAAAAGATAGAAAAAAAAAAAAAAAAGAAAAAAAAAAGGATGTAAAGAAAAAGACGGAAAGGAAAAGAGAAAAAAGAAGAAAAGGAAGAAAGAAAAAAAAGAAAAAAAAAAAGAAAGGAAGAAAAAGGAAGGAGGAATAGAAAAAATAGAAAGGAAAAGAAAGGAAGAAAAAGAAGAATAGAAAGAAAATAAAAAAGAGATAAGGAAGAAGGAGAAAAAAAAAGAAAGAAAAAGAAGAGAAGGAAAGAAGGAGAAAAGAAAAAATAAAAAAAAAAAAGGAAAAGAAAAAAAATAGAAGAAGAAGAAAGAAAAAAGGAAAAAAAAGAAAAAAAAAAAAAAAAAAAAGGAAGGAAAAAGATGAAAGGAAATGGGAAGGAAGGAAGAGGAATAGAAAAAAGAAGGAAAATGGGAAAAGAAGAAGAATAGAAAAAAGAAGAAAAAAAAGAAAGGTGGAAAAAAAGAAAAGGAAGAAAAGGAAAAGAAAAAAAAAAATGTAGGAAGAAAAAAAAAAGGAAAAAAAAGAAGATGTAAGAAAGAAAAGAAGGAAGAGGAAAAAAAGAAAAGAAGGAAAGAAAAAAGGAAAAAAAAAAAAAAAAAAAAATGGAAGAAAAAAAGGAAAAAAAAAGAAAAAAAAGAAGAGTAAGAAAAGAAAAAGGAAGGAGAAAAAAGATGAAGAAAGAAAAAAAGAAAAAAGAAAAAAAAGAAATGAAAGGAAGAAAAGAAGGAAAAGGAAGAAAAGAAAAAAAGAAAAGGAAGGAAAAAGATGAATAGAAGATGTAGGAAGACAGAAGGAAGAGAAAAGAAATGTAAAAAAAAAGAAAAGAAGGAAGGAGGAAAAGAAAAATGTAAGAAAGGAAAGCAAAAGGAAAAAGAAGAAATGAATTAGGGAAAGAACAATAGCAGAAAAGGAAGGGGAGAAAAAAAAAAGATGTAAGGAAGGCAGAGAAGAAAACAGGAAGGAGGAGAGGAACGAAGAAAAACTAACAAATTAAGAAAAGAATGTAGGAAAGAAAGAGAGAAAAAAAAGAAAGGAATGACAGAATGCAAAGAGGAAAGAAAAAAAGAAGGAAGGAAGGAAAAAAAAAAAAGAATGATGTAAGATTTGCAAAAAGGAAGGAGGAACAGAAGTGGAAGGAAGGGGATGAATGAAGAAGGGGGGAAAAAAAAAGAGGAAGGAAAAAAATAGAGAAAGGGAAGGAAAAACAGGATAGAAGGAAGGCAAGAAAAAAAGAAAAAAAAAAGAGAGAAAGAATATCTGAGGAAGGCAGGAAAGAAAAAACCGGGAGGAAAAAAGGAAGGAAAGAGCAAGAATGGAAGAAAGGGGTGAAGGAAGAAGGAAGAAAAGGGGAGAGAAAAGGAAGAAAAGAAGGAAGAAAAGTGGAGTGAATGGGAGGAGAGGAGGAAAGAGAGGAGAAAGGAGAGGAGAGGAGAAGAGAGGAGAGGGGAGAGGAGGAGAGGGAAGGGGAGAAAGAAAGAAGGAGAGGAGAGGAAGAATGAGAGGAGAGGAGAGGAAGAAGAGAGGAGAGGGGAGGGAGGGGAGAGGAGGAGAGCGAAGGAGAAGAAG